GTAAATTTTTCTTTGGTACCGGAGTGGTTGCAGCGTGAAATGTCCTTGTCGAAGAGGTTGTCCTCTCCAGCTGTGTGACCACAGTAAACGCTAAACTGGACATGCACCAAACATTTTTTCACCCGTGTTAATCTGGCTCGAAAGCCGCAGTATCACATACTTATTACGCATACTTACTACACATAGTTATTATACTACTCGTGCTAATCCAGTAGTCATATTTTATTACTGTTTCGACTTCACCAGCTTTTCGCTATCCGCTTGCAAGTAAGGCCCCGCCCGCGAACGTTGCTCTTTTTGAGTTCATTAAAGACCAAACTGGACATGGATCAAACTATCCACTTCCCAGTTACACCCTTTCCTACAAACCAATATATTTAAATAGTCGTTTGTACTTACTCCTTTTGGCTAGCCGACGGCTGCTTCCTTTTGCACCTGCAATTGTTTAAACAATCTTTTTTTAAATTGACCTTTTGTATCGATGCGTTTTCTAGCCATTTTTCTCACAAGGAAGTTCGGTATCGCTGCGTTTGGTAATGCTCATTAGGAAGCGGGAACCGTTGTTGATCCCAGATGCAAACTTCTACGAAGACCATGTGGTATATTCCTAAAAGCATTTTGGAAATAGTGTTTTTTTGCAAAATGAAACGGGTACAGTTTTCATCGTTAGAACCGTAGAGGCAACCACCACTGCAGATCAGTTTGAAAATTATTATATAATTGAAACAATTTTTAAAGGCACTGGTCATTTGAAAAAAAGCCGTTGAGGAAGGCGTAAATGAATGCACCGTACGCACTAGAGGTTATCGCCTGCTCGATGGAGAAATGGCGGAATAGTTTTTAGATAAGCAGCCATTAGATTGATTGACCATCTAATGAATCTCGAAATGGCCTGTTCCCATTCAGTTCAGTCAAAAATCCTGATGACAGCCGACTGCCTCGATGACAATATTTGCATGTAGGCGGAAGTGACATGTGGGGTGGTCAAAAACCTGTCAGAGTCGACACATTTGATAGGCAGAAAATTACATCTATATTTGCTTGGGGCGACGGAATATACGTTCTACGGCTAGACTAGATCTAAGAGTTGACATAGAGGACATAGGCTCGCTAGCCTAGGCTTTTGTTGATCATAGCATCATATATTGGGATCATTATTTCTATTTTCAGACAGAGAGACAGTAAAAAGGTTCGTAAATATTATTCCAGAGTTAGGTTGACTGACATTAGGACAGAGGGTGTTGACTGCGGACTTCAGTTCGTCGTGATTATCCACCAAAAAAGGCACCGCTAATTATAACATTGGAGACAAAATAAGTGGCCATCTAATGTGGCATTTTCTCCAAAAATTCCAACAAGTATTTATAGTATATCAACCAGTAATCGCACGCGAGTGTAATACAATAAATCTTAAAACGGTGTACGTATCTTCCTCACAGTTTCACCGCAATGTGCGTGATCGGTGACTTATGGTGATACCTAAGCCGAATGTAGCCATTCCTGTCTTGCTGGTGTCATCGGTAACACTTCAAGAATATGGACAGAGGCTCACCGTTATACTCAGACGACATATTTCGATGATCGCATGAAACAGTGGTTATGCAAAGATTTTAAACGTACCTCTTCGGCCAAAGTAACCAAACTTTGTACTGAAAAAAGCGTCATAAATAATATTGTTCTCAGCGGAATGTGTTTAATTGTTCACTGACGTTTCCGAGAGCTGGGCTGGCTGACCTTATCGATCAATAATTCAAAGTTGTGGCTGTACGTGTTGGCCATGGGCTGGTCGATTATTATACATTCGCTGCTTGGCCCTCAGACGCCAACTCCGTCAACAGACACCTGGTCCTCCCCACGGCCTACAAAGTCCTACGCCACTACGTCAGTATAAACAGGACTAGGTCAAACCAAAGTTAGGATTTGTAAACAAAGACGGCGCCGTGGCGAAACCGCCGGAAGATAACAGGATTACCAGCATCCTCTACTGTGGGAACGAAACACGATACTAACTGCCGTCAAGTTATGCCAAAATTCACACGGAGAGCCAGGCGGCGAACATAGGAATATCAATCAACCTATAACCAGCACGTACAGCCACAACTGTGAATTGCTGATCGATAAATTCAGTTTACGCTTTGACAGAGGACAGCCGGCCCAGCTGTCCGAAACGTCAGCGAACAATTAAAAACATTTCGGCGAGAAGAATACGATCTAAGATGAATGAAAAGGTTCGCGTTTCAGGTATCTGCATGGATAAGGAAGAAGACGTGTCGAGCACCGGATCAATTGATTTATTGTACTGAGCTTGCGAACTCTAATCCCGCAATTCTGACTTTTGTTAACCTGAACAAAGAGTCTCTTCCTTAAAGAAACATGGTTTTTTAAATCATGGGACTGAAAATGGTGACCGTTTCGCGACTCGATGAACAGCTCATTTTCAACCGCTCAATGTTACGTCGGGCTCTCTCGTCACTGCTTCTCAGGTTTTTTCGTAGAATTTTTGTCAATAACTGAATCGCAGTACGCAAGGTTGGACGTTTTTCTATATAGCGGCTTCTACGGCGGCATATTATAAAACTAGCTTCACTTGACTACAGTTTTAGCCGCCTATAAGACGTCTATCAAAATATAATTTCTTATCTGATAACAGCATAGTGTATGTCTTTTAGATTGTATCGTACTACAACGACAATTCACAACGGTTAAGCAATTAACTGATAGAATTCTGAGCGCTGTTGCCCGTCCTTTTCACCCTGAGGTTATTTCTATAACATCTCTGTCCCCTGCGTTGTGACTTCCCCTATGCCCCTTTGCCGTACAGCAGCAAATCTGCGTTCCTTATTGCCATTTCCGGCAGGATTCCTTACGTAAAAAGAGACCTGAACCGGTCGCATAATCCTTGCCCATTTTTACGTTAGCCTATTAATCATCTTATCATCTTTCAATTGTTACAAAAGTGGAGGGAATCTCATTGATGAACGCTCACTGATCGCTAACGGAAATCACTAGTGCCGTTCTGCCCTGGGGCTCATTCTCGAGCCCTGCCAACAGCCGCACAGGGGCTAGTAATCTAGACAGGAAGCATTGCCAGCAAAGACAAGGGAGACTGGAATGGCATTTTCTGGCTTGTTAGCCGCTGTCAGCCGTTGAGCCACGAACTCGTTGTTTTGCCTGTTTAGATCGGAAAATATTGACACTCGTTGATGAACGGTCAGTGCTATCTGCCTAGGCTGCTAGCCGCTGTGTGGCTGCTGGTGGCGCTTGAGAATGATCCTCAAGACAGAGCGGGACAAGGGAGGTCTGCTAGCTATCGGTGAACGTTAATCACCGAGTGTCAGTATCTCCTGATCTAAATCGACAAGACAACGAACTCATGACTTAATGGTTAGAGCGTTAGACTTCAGTCCAAAAAGGTCGCGAGTTCGAGTCTCAAGTGAGGCACCACTCTGGAGTTGGGTATGACTAACCGAGGACGACTAGTGAACTAGAAATGATCATTCCAGTCTCCCGTGTCTTTGCCAGCAATGCTAGTAGATGGACTGTTTGGTCAGTTTTCAGGTCCACGTCAGTTCGTAGGGCAGGTCATTCTGGAGACCTTGATGATTTCTAATACACATTTTCGCCTTGCACAATTATCAAATAAACCTGACTAACGTCTGTTGACATTCAAAGTAACCCAGATGGCCTGAAGAATTGAAAACACATTTTTCACCTGACAAATCGAAACCAGAGCCGTTTAAAAGTACAATTTTTAAGTTTACCCAGACGGCGTTGCCTTCTAGTTAATTTGAAAATCACTGTACTTTCACAAAAGAAGGCTGTTTAAAGTCGTTTTACAAAAGTATCGAAAGATGGAAATCACCACAAGGAAATACAAAGGTGTCAGGGAAAGGCATTTGATGTTGTGTTGTAAATTCAACGTCATTGAAGTTCGTCATGGTTCGCACTGCCTAAAAAATGAGAACTTGGTAAAACACATGTTGCGGTTTGTGGTTTTGTCAATGCTAAGGCATAAACGACTCGCCATTTACTTATATAATTAACATTTAATTGCATTTTATCTTTTTTTCGGCAGGGAAAATTGACTCAGGGAAGGCTTCATATATTTTTGTTTGTAAATGCTGAAAGCTGGGTATTTGGACTTTGTCCTAAATCATTTAGTTGTACGGATTCAGAAATTTCTCTAAGCCCGGTAAATTGTTTTATGCAGCCTTTAGTACCAAAATCCAGAAATTATCTTTTCGGAGGATATCCGGACAAGAAGATAAAAACCCGATGGCTGAACCAAAAGTATCATTAGCCTGCTGAATCGTATTCGAACTCACACAAACTGGGATTGATTTTTTTTCCAGAAAAATAAATATCTCCGTACTAATCGTAAGAGAATATTTTACAAAAAACTTTACAGCATAAATATAGACCCCAAAACTTCTGGCGCATTTTGCAGAGTCCTTACATTCAATCCTTTGCTAGAATGTGCACAACGTGCCTTCGAAATTCGTGCATATTCTCCTCATTGGGGGGGGATATTTTTGGTTGTTTATGGGCCGAACCGTTTTGCCATAGAGCAGGCAAACTTGACCGAGGTCCTTACTGGACTGCTCGTGCGAATGAAACCAATCGCCAGTTCTTTGTGCTGAGCAAACATAAGTAAGTAAGCTAATTAACGCAAGTAGCACTACCGAATTTTCTCTTTAATGAACTACGATTTACAAAATGGATGTACTTTGATGCCTTCGAAAGAAGACCATTGACGAAAAACCGATGTTGACTAAGCTTTTGTTGACTTTAAGTCCCGAAAACGAATGCACGGATTACGCACTTCAAGAAGGAGACTTACTTATCACGCATGTCTATTATCCTCTGTTAATAAATTAAATTACAAAACTTAAGGTAACGCTTGACAGTTTAAACGCAGCAAGATTTTCACTTGTCTCTCCAGAGTGCACTCAAGCGCGAGCACAAGCCTACGACAAAAAACGTGTAAGTTACCTTGCTTTCTACAGCTTGAAAGCGTTCCGCATCATCAAATCAAAGTAGACATCACTATCGATGGATGCACTGAGGCCGGAATAGTAGTTAAGGAATTCTTCCTTTGTAACCTGTGTTTTTGTAAAAATTAATATCCTTTTGTTAGTTCTAGCATCCAAATACGTAAAGAAGAGCATTTCCCAAAAGGGTGGGCGCTTTAGTAAGGTTAAATAACGCTGCATTTTTATAAATAAGCAATTTCTATCCAGTATGGCACGGTTTTTGGAGATGGACTATATTCTATTACTATGACCTGCTACATTACTCACTTCGGTTTGGCGTCCATTTTAAAAATTTAATAAGCTAGCATATATAGTTTCCTTCTATGTAATTGCCCTTATCTTTTAAGCATATATGTGTTCGTTACTATCATCAACAAACAACCATACAGCTTGTCTGCAGTGACTTAAATTTAGACCTAGAATAGGGGGTTACAGTGGTAAACTCAAAAACCAAAGGTTCCGTGTTTGTATCTCGGGGGTTCCAAACCTTGAGATTGGGCATGACTGGCTGGTGATAGTTAACAAGCCAGAAATGCTCTTTCCGGTCTCCCTTTGCATTGTCGGATCCACTTCATCATATCAAATTGGTCACTATGTGACGGTCTTGAGGGTTTGCGTTGCGAGCTCCATGGCGAAGTGGAACTTACTTGTTCCTGGACTAGATCGGTAAAACACCTACATTCATTCATCATATTCCCGATCACAACCGACATAGCAGGGAACCCGTAGACTAGAGGTAGTGTCTTGAACACAATGACCGATGGTCCCGGGTTCAACTCTCGGGGGTGCCAACCCTCGAAATTGGGTATGACCGGCTGATGACGGCTAATAAGCCAGAAATTCCCTTTCGGTCTCCTTTTGCTTTGTCAGACCCATTCCATCCTATCTCATAAGCCGCTATGTAACTGCCTGCGCGAGTTATAATAGTGAGCTCCAGGCCGAAGTGGAACTTAATTTTTCCTTTACCAGGTCGACGTTATCCATATATTCATCATATTTCCGATCTCAAACGACAAAGCATCAAGCCCGTGGTGTAATGGTAGAGTGGTAAACTCAATGACCAAAGGTCGCGGGTTCGAATCTCGGAGTACCGATCCTTGGGATTGGATATTACCGGCTGATGACGGCTAACAAGCCAGAAATTGCCACTTCGGTCCCCTTTTACTTTTTCCGATCCATTCCATAGGGAAATATGTGCAAAAGCTGTATTAGTTGCCGCCATTACAGATGCATCTGCGTTACTATTGTACTGCATATCACCGACTTAAGTAAGCATTGGAAGTGCGTGACTTTAGCATGCCTGTCGCACGGTTGCCGAATAGTGTGGCATGGCATGTACTCTGCGGTAGATAGAGGGATGTCGAAACATAACGGCTGTGCTTCCATTGTAGATGCCTGTGACAGCAGCGGTTGTTTAAATTCTGAAAAATTACTTGAAGCATGCTTGTAAATCTGTAAGCTCAGTTAGCTTCGTTTATAAGGCTTCCCCTCGGCTTTTTTTCGCATTTGACTCTTCTACTACCGTTTAAATGTGAACTTTAGACAATCATGGTTTATTGTAAGGCTTTTACTGTGTGGGAACTTGCCACACTTACTCTGCTTTTGTCCTGTCAGAGCTTACACCCGTGATTAATCATCTACTCCGCGTGTTATCGACCCGCTTCCCGCTTCATACGC